AATGTGGAGACAGCTGAGAAAAAAAACACTTGAGATGAGGTTGAGGATTCCACTGGATTCACAACAATGAGGACCACTTCAATGTGACCGTGAAGGGCGGACACAGGAGCATAAAGGAGTTGAAGAATGGTCTAGAAATGAAGACATGGAAAAGAGCTTGGCATTGCCGGTGTTATGAAACAACAGTTTATGGAACACAACATGGCATTCTGCATCCTTGCCTGTGCTGGTTTTTCTGTGCTGAATATAGAATTTCTTCTTGCTTTCTTGAATTATTCCCCATCTTTTAAGGCCAAGTTTAGGTAGGACTTCCCCTATAAATCCTTTTTGTGCCTGTTTATGCCTGTGGGCTTTGGCTAATCTTTGTCTGCATTACTGATCTTTAGCTTAATCCTAGCATTTAACTAAATAAGCACTGCATGGGCCTTGGACACAGGTGGACTAGAATTTGGACATCCACTTATGAACTGTGTTAACTTGCAACATTACTTCACCCTTTCTTTCCAGTTCCTTAGATTTCTCTTGAGTAAAATAGACTGGAAATTATGTTACTTAAAACTACCCTGTATTGTTTCTGTGGTCATCAAATGGCAAACTATATAAAAATGCTACCATGTGAACAGTTAGTAAAAGCTATCCAGGAAATGTTACAATTTTGCTCATTGCTCTGGGAGTATAGCTATGAGTAAATTCACAGTATATTAGTGTCCCTCCTCCTTTTTATCTAATGCACATGTCCATACAGTTACCAGGTATTTGCACAGTGGTATCGGAATAACATCATGTTGGCTTCCATTTCTCCAGGACTGCTCATGTCCAGTGGCCAAATATGGAAGGAACAAAGAAGGTTCGCCCTGACCACACTAAGGAACTTTGGTTTAGGCAAGAAGAGCCTAGAGGAACGCATCCAGGAAGAAGCCCACCACCTTGCTGAGGTCATAGCAGAGGAGAAAGGTGAGCATTTCATAGTTTAGGTATGGGAAGTTGGGACCGAACCATTCATTGACCAGAAGTTTATTAAAGAACTAAATCCAATCCCTATGCCCAGCACTGTTATAGGCCCTGAGTTAGCAAAGTGCATACCTTCCACTGACTCTCTGCTTAAGGAAGACACAGTTAGACGTGCATTAAATACGTTACTGTTTAAGTACTGATCATAAATTTACTTATCATAACATGTAACGAATTCTTAGCATATGTTAGATGCTCTAGGTAAAGCTTCAAATATGCTTCTCAATTAGTTATGTAGAGCAGACTTTCTGTAAAAATATAGAGACAATCTAGTGGATTTTTGAAGGACTCATCTCTTCCTTCGTCCACCTCTAGGACAGCCTTTCGACCCTCACTTCAAGATCAACAATGCAGTTTCCAATATAATTTGCTCGATCATCTTTGGGGAGCGCTTTGACTACCAGGATGCTGAGTTTCAGGAGCTGCTGAGGTTACTGGATGAGGTTACGTATTTGGAAGCGTCTCCTATGTGCCAAGTAAGCACTTCTCTTCCTGCATCTTGCTCTGGAGTATTGGGCTGATGTGTGCCACAAATAGTTTCTTCCTTTAGGTTTTCTTGGTGTTTAAACAAAAACTATAGCGATTTAACATTGAGTTTAACAAAAACTACTTAAAATATTAATTTATTGTGTTTAGTTATTCTTTTCTTTGTCTTTTTCTTTTTCTTTTGGCACTGGTTGTGGAACCCATGGTTTCAGGCGTGGTAGGTATAAAATTAAAAATATTAATATTGTGTTTAGTTATTCTTTTCTTTGTCTTTTTCTTTTTCTTTTGGCACTGGTTGTGGAACCCATGGTTTCAGGCGTGGTAGGTATAAAATTTACAGTGAGCTACATTTTCCAGCCCAACTCTAGTTCTCTAGTTCTTTCTTTCTTTCTTTCTTTCTTTCTTCCTTCCTTCCTTTTTCTTTCTTTTTTATTCCTTCCTTCTTCTCTCTTCCTTTCTTTCCTTCCTCCCTCACTCTTTCTTTCTTTCTTTCTTTCTATATTTTTAAACCAGCATCTTGGTAGGGTAGGTAGACCCATTTGACCTTGAGCTTGCAGTGATTCTCCTTCTTCAGACTGGGATTACAGGTGTCAATTTTTACTATATACAAAATAATTCTATCATTCACACAAACTACAGAATTTTATGTGAGCTGCATCTGTGTTGGTCTTCTTAGTCAAACAACAATATTGCCCTTGCCTTTGAGTGTCTACTCTCCATGTTCCAACCTACATAGTTCTCTCTTTTCTCCTCAGATGCATTCAGCAGGGTGTTTTTTGTTTTTTGTTTTTTGTTTTTGAGATTCATCTGTATTTTTTACACAAATTAGCATTGCATTGTAAGAATGTGCCACCCTGGCTAATCATCATTTTACTGCTGGGCATGTGAGCTGTTTCCAGGCACTGAATGCTATGAATCAAGCTGCCATGATCATTCCCGTGCAAGCGTCCCCATGGACGCACCTCACTTGTTGTTCATAGATGTGTTCACACAAAGAAAGGTAAAAATTTCAAAACTTCTGGTACTTGCTCCTGACAAGTGTCTTTTCCTGGAGCTTCATGATTCTATCACATAAAGCTGACTGTTGGATTAGGATGACTCCTGGCAAACAGAAAGGGTACAATAAATGGAACCATTTTAGTTACGGTCAAAGTTGCTTTGTGTTCCTTGTTATCACTGTGAGCTATGGAAGAGCTGAGTCCAGCAGTTCCATGTGCTTCTCTCCTATTAAGAGACCTAGAACACCAGGACAGTTCAGCAGGTTCCTGGGAGGGAAATGAGAGTGGCCATGTGCTAAGTCTAGCAAACATTTTCTTAGCGTCCCCTTGTATACTAGACATTTTTGTAGGCAATGGCACACACTTTATCTCTGCCAATTTTCACAACACTCTCATAAAAATGAAACAGAGCAACATGAGTGTAAAGTTGATAACTGAATGTGCAAGCAAATAAGACAATAGTCCTCTACTCCTGTGTTGGATACCATGTGTATCTTCTGTCACACAATCTCCAGAGTCACTATAGCACCTCACCCAGTAGTGCTCCCCCTAACTTGAAGCTAGTTAAATAAAGGATCAAAGATACATTATTATTTTTATACTTATTACCAATCTATTTTACAAAAATACATTGTTATTTTTGTACTTATTATAAATCTACTACAACTAGAAAGGAGCAGAATTGTCACATCCACACCTGTCTCATTTGTAGTTCACATATTTGCATTATGTTCTTCTGTATGCTTCTCCTTTTATGTTCCATTCACCAGTTTAGTCCAGCATGTAATGCCAGGTCTGACCCGAATGGAGATTGCACCATCCTAGTTGAGAACTCCATATAGAATCAATTGCTCGAGTGTGCTCACATGCAAACACACACACACACACACACACACACACACACACACACACCTAAATCAAGACGAGGGAATAAGGCACTTACAGGAGCATCAAATATAAGCTCCAGAGAGGTGACATTTCAGTAGCAACTACAT